CCTGGCTCCAGCCTCCTTTCCGTCATTGCAGAGAGCCAGATACACGTTGGAATGGTTAAAGAAGTGCCTCCCTTGCATGTGATCTGTGTCATGCTAGCTCTTAAGCCAGGCTTTGGGCCACTGTGGCCTGCTGTCTGTTGCCTGTGCTGTGTTGTGCCAAGCCATGTGGAAGGCCTGGCCCTGAAGGCAGCACTGGTTGGACAACTGATCCTGTCCTCTGGAAACAAAAGGAGCCCTTCCCATGGAGGGGCAGCGTGGGAGGGCTGCTGGTTGTCACAGAGCTAATGCCTCTGAAAGGAGAAAAAAGTCGTGGGAGCAGGGAAGGCTTAGGGGTGAATAAACAGATTTGATGGTCAAGTGGAGAAAAAAGTGAGTTGTTGAAAGCTTCCACTTCTGTTTCCCCAGGGTTGGATCGAGATCGTCGGCTGCGCTGATCGCTCCTGCTACGACCTCTCCTGCCACGCCCGTGCCACCAAAGTTCCTCTCATAGCTGAGAAGCCTCTCAAAGAACCTATATCCTTTCAGAGGAAACCAGATTCTCTTGAAGTGAAAAGGGATTTGACAGCAAGATGTCTTGGAGAGCTCCCCAGCTCTAAGTTCCATCTGTAGATTTAACAGGGAAACCTAGAGGTACAGACCAGCATGAGTTAGGGAAGTGACCTGCAGAGAGCTGAGCATGTGGGTGGTGTTGCTGAGGTGGGCAAAGGGGTGTAACTGTTGTGCTTAGTTTCTCCTAGCTTAACTCAAGGGTGTGTTTTGTCTGTGAGGCCTGAGTTAAGTAGTAATGTGGGGTTACTATCCCAGGTTACTCCACATCATTCCATGGTTCTGCTGCTAGCTGTACTTTGAAAAAACAAAACCAAAAAAACACCCAACCAAAAAAATCCCCCCCCCCAAAAAACCAAAATAACTTGTAGTCTTTCAAAAGATTAAAGGTCTTTGTGGCCTGACTTCAGTATTTTTGATCATTCGAAAAGAAGAGTCATAGAATGACAGAATGGTTTGGGTTGGAAGGGACCTTAAAGATCTAGTTCCAACCCCCCTGCTATGGCAGGGGCACCTCCCACTAGACCAGGTTGCTCAAAGCCCCATCCAGCCTGGACTTGAAGACTTCTAGGGAGGAGGCATCCACACTTTCCCTGGGCAGCCTCTTCCAGTGTCTCACCACCCTCACAGTGAAGTTCTTCCTTATATCTAATCCAAATCTGTACTCTGTCAGTTTAAAACCATCACCCCTCATCCTATCACTACACTCTGATAAATGGCCCCTCCCCATCTTTTCTGCAGGCCTCCTTTAAGTACTGAAAGGCTTTTATAAATTCTCCTGGGGTGAAGTCCTTTCATCCAGTAGCAGAGGAGGTTTCTTTGTGTGGTGTAGCAGTTGGTTTTGATGTAGCAAAAGAACCAGGCCCTGCTTTCTGTCCTCAGACTCCTTAACTGCCTCGTACAGAACAGTCAACATTGTTCAGTTTGAGGCAAATAAGGGAGCCATTGGCAAAGCTTACAAGAAGGATGCCAAGGTGGTGATGGAATACCTTTCCCTGTGTGATGAGTGTTACATCACTGAGATGGAGCAGCTGCTCAACGAGAAGGGGTGAGCTGGGGGGTGTGGTACCCTTCTCTGACACCTCTGGTGGGAGTTCCCAAAGTGCTGCTGGCTTAGAGCCACCTGAAGCCAGCTCCCTCTGAGGATGGGTCATCTAAAATGTTGTGGCCTTCTGCCAAGTCATTGCTGGTCATCCATCAACATTTCCCTTGATGTGCACTTCAGTGTGTGACCTTGGTGTTCAAATACTGTATTTGTGTAGGAATGAGGTTCTGGCTTGGGTGGGATCATGCCAGAAGAGACACCTCAGTGAAATGGGAAGTGTTTACCAGCTTCCCTACTCTGGCTTGAGAGATGACAGGGGCTGGTGAACAGGTTTGAACTTTATGTAAAAATTAATCAAATAATCCTGTGAGTGATGGAACAAAATGGTTAAATGAGAACCAAATCTTGTGTGAGTATCCTCCAGCACTTAGTGATGTGCTTTAGGACCTGTTACAGCCTTCAGCTTCTTGGGGCAGGAATTGGGATGTTTTTCCTCAGGCTGCCTGCCTGTGTTCTGACACATGCAGGGGCTGGAAATAGGAGAGGCCTTGACAGTTGTCACATCTGGCTAAAGCAGGCCAACAGCTGGATGTGTTATGAGAAGGCTAATGGGGTGATGATCAAAATAAACCTCATTTCCTGCTTGAAATGATTCAGGGTGTAGGATCAAAGAATACATTCTAGGGTAACATTGACTGTTTCTTTTCAGTTGAGTTAAGATTGGTTTTTTATATTTCTGAGAATGTGTAAGCATAGAAAAACCAGTAACACTTGAGATGGGGACAGAGACCATTGCAGGATGTGTACACACATGAAGAACAGAAGAAAGTTAATTTAATTCTTCCAGAATCCCACTGCTTGTCTGTTGAATCATTTCACACTTCATAAACATGTTGGGTTTTGTATTACACTGCTCTGGAAGCTTCAGCAAGGAAGGGCACCATTGCTGAGGACACCCTGGCTGTTAGACCTGCCTTTCATATGCCCAGGTTTGTGCAGTGCTGTGACGTGAAGCACTCGAGTTTACAGCAGCAATTTCCTGTGAGGATGCTGCATCATCATCATCATCATCATAGACATTGCAAGTGAGAGAGGTCAATGCAACCTCAGTTCTTGGCAAGGAGTCTGTGCTCATGGCAAGTTAGCAAGGAGTAAGAGTAGTTAAAGGAGCATAATATCAGAAGCTTTAGAAATAATCAGTGAAATGGCTGTGCTGTGCCCTCCCCTTTGTTTGGGGTCTCTGGAAATGGGCAGGACCATCTGAGACAGGTCAGTTTTGGGGACAAGTCTGAGCACTCAGCACAACGTACAGTCTGCAGCAGGTGCTTGTTTCGTGCCCCTTTCTTTTGGTCTACATGCTTCACCCTGAGATTTCTTCCATTTCCTAATTGAGTTTGCTTCAGGCTCTTCACCACAACTAAGTTCATTGTGATAATGGCTGCTTTCAATGCAGAGGTAGTAATTTTATCATTAACATAAATTTCTTTTGATGGGTATGCCACGTTCCTTTGATCTCTGGGCTTTGCCTTGGCTTCTGTCATCCCACTCTTAAAGTCAACCAGCCAATGCAATTAAGGAAACATAACTTGCTTGTTTGTTGCTGTTTTTAAATGACTTCTTTTTCCTTTGCAGGGAATTCACTGTTGAAACTGAAGGGAAAACTTTTAAATTAACAAAGGACATGGTTACTGTGAAGAGATTTCAGAAAACATTGCATGGTAAATGTGTCTTTGTTGTTTTGGTCATCAAAAATAAGAGGCAGAGCAGGATACACGTTGAAAATGAGCTTTATTAGTTGTGTTGTCCTGTTAGTATTGTACAGTGACACAGGAAAAATGCCAAATGTCCTGTCAGTGCCATTCCTTGACATCTGGCAATTTAAGAGAGCTGGAGAACTTTCACACAGCAGTGGGATTGCAGTCACCACTGATGCAGGCCTGCCTGCTTCTCTCCTGCTCTGTCCAGCAACCCATTTAATAGACTTTGGGTGGCATAGTCTAGTCATGTTCCTTCAGCTGCATATTCTGGGATTTTTAAGGTCCCACAGTGCTAAGAACCAGCTGCTGTAGTGATAGAGGAGCTGGGGAGGGTGCACCAGCTTTGGGAGCTTTCATCTTCCAGTCCTTAGCAGTGCAGCAGATAGGTTGTGGCAGTCTGTTGGTAGGGCTCTGGTAAGATCTTTGTGCTCAGAGCTCTTGTTGTCACTCTGCTGCCTGGAGTCAAGTCTTCCAGCATCTGCCAGCTCACCAGGCTCCCATCCTGACCAGACTCTTTAAGCTGACAAGTCCAGTCAGTCCTCTGGTAGTCAATAATCACATCAGCTTTGGTCAGCAACTGCATCTCCACAGAGCTTTTATCCTGATGTGGGAGATGAGGCTAGGAGGTAATTTTCCAAAATGTGTGGATTTGTGTCCTCAAAGAAGTCTGGAAGGAGCTCAGTGCATCCTTTGGAAGGTGAAGTCCCACCCTGGGCTGGGTACCAAACTGGATTGGCTCCCTAGGCACATTAGGGTGGGAGATGTGAGGCAGGGTGCAGTGCTGCAGAGCTGGATGCTGCCCTTGGTTCTCAAAAGCAGCTGATGCCTACAAGACTTGGTTCTTCCCCAGTTGCTGTCTGGGCTTTTTCTAGAAAGCTGCACTGAGTGAGGCAGCTGTCCACTGAGCTCCTTCCAGACACAGGGGAGGAGGATGGTGAGGCTGAAGAGGGCCAGGGGTTGAGTTTTGTTTACCCTGCCATTGTCCAGGCAGTTTAACTGCTCGTGTGTTCCCTGGCACAGTTTTAGTCTGTGCCAAATAAAGCTCTCCCAGACAATGCCTGGACGTGGTTTGTGGCTTGGTGTGGCGCAGGAACTGTTCCCAGTGAGCAGTTTGGATGAGGCTTTGCTGCTGTGGAGTGGAAGAGGGTTTATTTGCATGGATGCAGTTTGCTCTTAGGGGCAGAGCAGGGGCCCTGACTTGTTTCCAGCCTGAATACATTCTGTACTTGGGTTAGGTCCAACTCTCTACCTCAGCTGTTTGTCTTGAGAGCAGAAGTGTTTCACTTTTCATTTCCATGCGTTCAGCTACGTGTAGCCAGAACTCCTGAGCAGAAAGGCAGCTTCCATAAACACATCTTTTTTTTTTGTGTATGAATTTTTGTGATGGTGACGTGGGTTCTTTTGTGTGGCAGTGGAAGAAATCATCCCCAACGTGATCGAGCCCTCCTTTGGCATTGGGAGGATCATGTACACGGTGTTCGAGCACACCTTCCACATCCGCGAGGGGGACGAGCAGAGAACGGTGAGCTTCCCTGGGGCTGGGCCTCTCCTTCAGCCACCTGCAAGCATTTGCCTTGCCCTAAAAACCCAGGGAAGGACTAACACAAGGCTGCACGACCCCCAGGAGAGGTGGGGAAACCCAGGTGGGCTCTCAAACTGCTGCTTTTGCCGGCACACGTAACACGTGCACTGAGCCTTCTGGGGCTCTGCCTGCATGGGGTTCCTGCTGTGTTACTGCAGGAGGGGAGGAATTCCTCCTCCTGGATCACCCTTGGCAATGACCCCATCACTCAGAGAAAGGTGTCCCTTCAGTGCTTTATGTCCTCTCTCTCCCCTGCTTTCCCTGGAATGAGTTCTGTGCAGCAAGATGGACCACAGACTGTTTCCTCAGTCCCCCGGGAGATTCAGCTTCCTCTGATTCTAAATATCCCTCAAATTTTGGTCTGAAACTGTGCCATAGCCAGGGCTGGAGGACAGTGTGTGTGACACAGAGCACCAGCCTGGGCCAGCCAGTGCCCAAGCTGGGATGCTCTACACTGTTGCTGGTGGCCCATGGGAAGCTGGCTGTGCACTTGATGCTGGTTCCTCTTGGTTGTTTCTGGCTGCTAGAATGTGCTCATAGAAAAAAAATAACATCACTCCATAGTGTCTCTGGCTGCCACAGGATGTGATCCAGATATGGGGGCTGGGAAACAGGATTCAGGAGCTCAAATTTAGGACACAGTTGACTTCCAATCACAAACTGCTCATGAAGTCAAAAACGTTGGACCTGCCTTTTTTTTGTGGTACCCATTAACTTTCTGTGCAGCCTGAGCTGCTCTGTGTTGTGCTGCACCTCAGTGGCATTACTTTTGTACCTTGCTGATTGCCAGGAAATATCTTTCCCCCTTTTTTGGCTTATTTTTCTTTTCTGAGGGTGTCTGTGGAGGGTTCTGTGAATCTGAGCTGCCTGTACTCTGTGTGCATGGAGTCCCTGTGGGAATCAGGGTGAGAGGATTGTGAACTATTCCATTTAGTCTATGCAAAAGACTGAGCCTCCTGTGAAGACCTCTCTGCCCTTCATTACTCTGTAATTCAGATCAAGCTCACCCTCTTCAGTGAGGGCTCTAGCAGACCTCTTTTAATTGGGAGGTGACGTTTGGCTGTCAGGAGGGAAGAGGGAAGGCAGATGGAGAAAATCTTGCTGCAGCAGTGTGAGGTGTTGCTACTGGCACCTTGAGTGTCTTAGAGAAGGCCAGCGACTCCCCTGGAACAGTCACCCTGCCTCCAGCCTCAGCCAGAGCTTATTCTCACCTTCTAAGACTCTGGCCTACCTGTTTAATGTGTATTTATTTGTGCTTTTTCCTTTTTTTCCCTAGTTCTTCAGCTTCCCAGCTCTTGTAGCACCGTACAAGTGCTCCGTTCTTCCTCTAAGCCAGAATCAGGAGTTCATGCCTTTTGTCAAGGAGTTGTGTAAGTGTGTTAAACCCCGTGGGCCTGGTGGGGATGTGCCCTGGGAAGAGTTTTCCTCCTCAGTGCTATGGGGAGAAACCAGCACTGGGATCACATGTGCAGAGGGAGAGCCATCAAACTGGTTTGGGAATCTACCAAACTCCTCAGCCTAGCCTCAAAAACCCCAACTCCCTGCCCTTCCCTGTGTTGGTTTGCACTGCAGAAGACATTTCTATTTCTTTTCCTTCTCTGTCAAAAATAACTCTCCTACTGCTTAGGAGAAGCTGTCAGGAGCAACACGGTTTTGGAGGTTTTTAGAGACTTTTTTTGAATCTAGTTCTTTTCTTCACTCTTGTTGGCCAGCTCATTTCTTGACTCAATCCCAGAGCTGCCGAGCCTCCACGCGTTGTCTCAGAACACCCACTGGCACCATCTGAGAGTGAGTGCCTGGAGGCTGCATGTCACACAGTGCCTTTTGCTGTCCCCTTTGGTTCTGCCCGGGCCCTCTGCATGGCCCTGGACACCTGCAAGGCTTGGAGCTGGAGCAGTTGTGGGGCTCTGGGGTGAGAGTTGGTGTGATCTGCTGGGTGGGGGCTGCTGGCGTTGGCAGGACTGGAGCGTTGGATCTGCTGTCAGAGAGAGAAGAGCAGGTGCCACGTCCCGGTGACCCCCCTCCCTCCCTCTCTGCTCGCAGCCGAGGCGCTCACCAGGAACGGGATCTCTCACAAGGTGGACGACTCCTCGGGCTCCATCGGGCGGCGCTACGCCAGGACCGACGAGGTCGGCGTGGCCTTCGGCATCACCATCGACTTCGACACGGTGAACAGGACGCCCCACAGCGCCACCCTGCGCGACCGCGACTCCATGCGGCAGATCCGCGCCGAGGTGAGGGGGAGGC